AACCCCAATTACCCAGAGCAAATTTTCCTAATGAAATCTGACTGAGACAACGACATAAGCCAGGCACTCAGAAAGTAGCTCTTGCCTGGGGGGAGAACAACTTCTTCAGCTGGTTGGCAGTCCCTGGCCCTATGCCCCTCACACCCCACAAGCTTGAGAGGCCGGCCGGCCTCTCCCTGAACCGAACAAAATCCAAGATTTAAGATTTGAACTATAAAACAAGATTTCCTAGGGTTTAAATCTTTGGTTGAAGCAATTGAACTGCATGTATGGAAACTCCACTGCACCCAAGAAGTGGAAATTTCTGGGCCAGGTCTGTAAGAGACTTGGGGAAAGCAAGGCGAAGGGTAGCACATCTGATCTCCCTCGGCCAGTGGCCTTTCACTGCCATCCTTGGCTATCAAAATGCCCTCACGAATGCTGAGCTGACATTGCTCCTCTGAAGACTGCCACGGAATCTCCCTAACCCTTTTCTCCCTCACTGTCTCGTTATTTCCCAGACTACTCTGGAGAGGCCCAACATTTAAGGGCTGTGTGACTGCCATCTCCAAATCTCCTGTTCCTTCCCTGGTGCTCCTGTCTCCCTGCATCCTCCAGTTTCTTTCTGCAATCCCCCAAAACCTCAAACCTTTTCCTTTTGCCATCCTCAAATTTACCCCATTACAGTCACCACCCACCCTGTCCACACAGCCCATTCTTACTTACTCTGGCTTTTCTGAGAGCCATGCCCACCTGTTAACTTGTAACATGCTCACCCTAAAATAAGCCTGTAGAATAAGAACTGGCCGTGTCCACACACATAGCCAGTAAGGCAGCCTCCCCAATTCTACCCTGGGATAGGGAGCTGGCGGGCTGGCATGTGGGTGCCGTGACTCCTCTCGGATGCCCTGCCTCTACGAGCTGAGTGCTGTCAACAGGTGATGGTGGCCCTGCACCGTGGGTTCTTGGCCTTGGGAGAACTAAGTCACTAGGCTGTTTACTCTGGCTCCTCTGCCTTGTGAATTAACTAGGTACTAGGTTCCAGCATCTGTACTAGGGGCTTTGGAGGGGGGAAAAAACCCACAAAAACAAAACAGGTTTAAAAAGAGAAAACAAGCATCAGTAAAATTCACCTTCTATATGGCCTTGTAATATGTGGCAAAAAAAAAGTTAGGTAGAAAACAAAAATGAGATGTTAAGTCATTTAATTTGACATAAACCAGTTTTTAAAACATTTGCTTGGCTTATCCCATGCATTTGTAATAGAGGCAAAATTGCTTTTGGGCCATGCAGAAATCTTAGTCATTACCAGGTCCTGCAGTACAGAAACAGACAGTACAGCATATGTATATATCTGTATTCAAATTTCATGGGAGAGGCGCAATTAAGAAAAAAACGTCTGAAGAAGCTCCTGGGAGGGAGTGATAATGAAAAAGAAGACGGTTGGGAAAATTGGTTTATCCTAACTAGCTGCAGCTTCTGAGCTGGGTTTTCAGGCCCAGCCTAATCAGACACTTAGAGGTATTACCGAAGAACGTGCTCAACACTTGTGGTCAGTTAAGACTTGTGGCCAGTGCCGCTGTCTGCTGGCCCTGCGCCCGCCTCCACTCTGAAAGGCTTGTTCTCAGACATGAGGAGCAGGGAGAGCAGGTGGGGGAAATAAGCACACATCAGACCAACACCGCGTATCTGCCAAGTTTTCTCATAGGTTAGTCACAGGACACCGTGGAATTCTGTATTCTCTAACTTGCCTCCTTAAGTGATTTTGCCACTAATTCAGAAACAGATTTGACAAACTCAAATGAGATCAACATAACACAGATTTCTTCACAACTGGTGTTTTGATTTGATCAAACGTTGAAAATTTTTTAGGTTCCATTAGTGTTAAAATTGTTGAGAGAGTCAAACTGGGCAACTCTGGGCATGTGGAGCTGAAAGGGATGCTGGGAACATCATCTTCAGAGACTTCATTTTCCACGTGAAGAAACTAAGGCAGAGGGGTACTGGGTCTGAGCCAAGGCCACTGGGCAGACTGGGACCAGAAGGTCCTTAGGCCTTAGATCCCACTGCCCATCTCTGGGCACGGGTATTTAGAAAAGAGTCATGATGTCAACCCCTGCAGAGCAGGACTAGGAATTCCATCTCTCATTCTGTAACATGGGGATTAAAGACGTAATTTGAGACTCATCCTCTTTGCTGGGCTGTGACGTCACTGGCCTCTGGAAGCTTCATTTGATGTTAGTGATTTGTTTTCTGCTAAGAGACATGCTTTCCCCACCACCATGCTTTCTGCTCAGTTTCCTCTCAATAGCTTCCCTCTGCGTGAAGCAGTGATAATACAAATACATTAAGTAAAACACATGCAGAGTCTCTAAAAAAGACCTCATTCTTAGCAACACTGATGTTGCAGCTTTCTTCATTAAACCTCAATCAAAGCTGCTGAAATCGGGCTAGAGAGTCAAAGGGCTGTAAGCAGTTGGGGGGGCACTTCTATTCATTAAAGAAGCATTATCTTAGGCAATCCCAAACTTTAAAATACCCAGTTCTTGAATTCTGATAAACACAGATAAAAAGTTTGCCAAACCTGAGAAGTAAACCCACGACAGATTGTTGATACCACACAATATTTGAACATTGCTACATGATTTTCCAACTTGGAAAGTTGAGTTATAAGAGCAGCTTTGTCCAATAAAAAGCAAATTTCCATTAAGCAAATGATTAATGTAGTAAAATATCCTAAATATTGAAGCATACCATCACATTTAATTAACTTTATTGTCCTCCAACGCCCCCCCTCCTTTGAAATATTATGACTGCCTGGTAATTCACCTGTGTGGTCCACTATAGGGTCTGGTTTTTTGGAGAATTTCCTCACCAGACTGGCCCCACCTAAGTTGAAAGGGCAAGTGAGCCCATTCAAATGCTAACCAGTTTAGCAGGGTGAGACAAAAGGCTGGCTGGGAGGCTGGTGAGTTGGGAATGCTTGGAGAACTTGCCAGAAACTTCTCTGGAAAAGAAGGGCAGCTGGACCCAAGTGGCTCAGGTAGAAAGAGGGTTTGAGTGTCTATGTAGCAAAATCCCCTCTCCTCAGGGTGCTTTCCTAGGGGTTTGGCATACTCCTTAGTTGTTTTGTGTGGTCCCTAATGGTCTTTCCACCCTGGAGCCAGGATGGAAGGAGGAAGTTGGGGGAGGGGAGGAATGAAGAGGGTATGGGGGTGGGTAACAGATTTTCAGTTTGTGGAAAAGCATGTCTGAAAGATGGCAAACTATTTGTGTGTTCCTACATGGGGACCCCCCCAATAATGAACCTGTATATTGCTTACAGTTAAAGCCAGCCTCCCCATATGTAAGTTTCTGTTTAAAAAATGGACCAAGACTAGGGTGGGAGGTATGGGCTAGGCACTGAGAACTTTTTAAAAAACCTGTTTGTTCATCCTTCAACAAGGCAGCATGCTAATTTCTCTAGTGAAAACCCCAGCTCTGCCGAAAGACCGGCCCCCAACGCCCCAACCTGTGAAAGAAAGTAGCTTCCACACTGAAAAGCATGCCCGAAAGCCAACAGGGGACCTGGCTGCTTCTGCCTAGTCACTGAAGACCTTATACTTGGTGAATTCAGGCTATAAAGCATTACCAGAGGGAAAACAGAACACTTAATGCCATGGAAAGGAACCCAGCATCTCGGTTTGAGCAGAAATGTCAACTTTGGGGAGCTTCCTCTTGCTCAGGCAATCCCACACTTTCAAGTCCCCCTCAAGGGAGGGCACACGGTACCCTCCTGCAAGTCCACGGCAGCCTCCAGGCTTCAGACACTTCCAGGCTGCCCGGGGAAGCCCCTTGCTAACAAATTGCCCGCCGGGTATTTACTAGTGAAAACCACAACCGCATCCAGGCAGCCAGAAGTCATTAGCCCGCGCCGCAGCCGCGCATAACTAAGTCTCCGGGCGCTGTGCCGCCTTCCCTGGGGAAGAGACGTGGGAGGAAGACCATTTAAAGTGTTTTCCTTCTGGCCACATCCTTTTCTTAGGAGTCTAAGGATCCGACCGTCTTTTCCAGCCTCTAAACGCTTCACCTTTCCCCCAAATCATTCTCATCATTATAGTTTAAACCGGCGCATATAAAGCAAGACGCGAGCACAAAGAAAAGATCAGCTTCCAAATCTGGAGAGGTTTTGTAAATACATTTCACTTATCGGTCTTTTCCCCCAGGATTGGCGAAGAAAGCACACTTTCCGCACCAACAATGCGTTACCGGACTGCGGCCGGTTTTGTGCTCCGACACCAAGGCAGTTTCACCTCCAGGTTAGATTCCAAACTTGGCTCCACCCGAGCTGAAAAAATGGCCGGTGTGCGCCGCCTCCCCGCCCCGAGGCTGCCGAAGCCGCCAGCCCCTGCCCCCTCTGGACCCAAAGACTAGCCTTGGATCCAAAACCTTCCCCCAGCTCCGCAGGTGCGGCGCTCTCTGGGGACACTTTGTAGGGTGTCCTGATGATCAACATGAACCCCGCTCCAGCCCCGTTAACTGTTCTGCTTTACCTTTCCGCAGGCGAACACCTCGCGGGTTTCAGCCCTCTCTTCCATCCCCAAAGCCTTGCGCAACAGCCTGGGACCTCTCCAGCCAGGCTGCACCCGGCTCCGTCGCCAGAACAGCTGTGCCAAAAGGTTGGCGATACCCCGACGTGACCAAGCCCGAGCCACCAACCCTGCTGGCCCATAGAGGCATTCCCTGAGGCGCCTATACCTCTTCTGCCTGCCTTCTAAGTACCGGTATTCAGGAGGGAACCGCCTTCAGCTCTGAGAGGTCGGTTCTAGGGCGCGGGCAGGTGCGCACGCTCTTTGCGGCGGTCTCCAGTCCTGCGAGCGCCCGGGGATGAGTGGTGGCTGCCAGCACTGGCGCACAGCCTCACAGAGCACTGGCACCAAGGATCCCGAGGCTCCAAATTGGCAGCGCCGGGACTTGGGCTCCAGGCTCTGAGTGGCTTAAGCGCGGTGCGCGACTTTCCCCGGAGCCGGCTGTCTCCGGAGTTCTCACCCAATCCCGGTCTGATTACTTTTCTCACATTGCAACAGTGTCGCTACAGCGCGGCTGCTCTGGCTTTGTGAAAGTTGGCGCGCGCGCCTCCGAACCACATATCCGGCGCCCGCTAAAGTCAACTGGTTTGAGATTAGTATCCATAAGAGCGGAAAAATGCAGAAAACAAGTCACTTACCCATGCCTTTTGGGTGTGCATTTAGAAATCTGGGGGTGCGTCCGGGGTTCAGTCGTGCGTCCTGGACACCAGCTCGGAGACTTAAGGCTGTCTCCAGCGGGGTGCAAGGAGCACCCGTGCCGTCTAACAAGCCTTTGGTCATGCAGGCGTCCTCTGGCGCCCTGGAAGGCTCTCCTGGACTCCCACTTCCCGGGCTAGCCAGCTGAGCCCACTCTCTTCCCGCCTTCTTCCTAACCTGACTTTCCAACCTGTCCTTCCTTCTCCTTCCCTTCCTCCCGCTGCTCCCACACCGACCCCAGGCTTCCCAGTTCCACGGTGGGCAACCAACCTGAATCAAAGAAAACAAGGAGAATCTGGACCGTGTCCTCCATTAGTGACGCCGGATGGGGATGGGACCCCTTTTGGAAGGGGACTCCGGGGATGGGTCGCGGCGGGTGGGCTTTCTGGGCTTGCAGCGACTCTGCTGCAGCTTCTCCTTCTTTGGCTCCTCAGACTCTTCGGGGTCCCTCGGATCCTTGTCCTCGGGCTCAGGCTCCTCCCCCTCTCTGGGGCTCCCGGGCTCCTGAGTGCTGGACTGCGCGCGACTCGGGGAGGCGTCGGGGCTCCGCAGCCTCAGAGCTTGGAGACGCTCGGTGAGAGATTGGCTGAAGGTGCTCTGCTTGGGCACCACGGGGCCGCGCTCGTCCTCGGGCTCGGTCTCGGGCTCAGTGGTGGGGGCGGTCTCCGTCTCGGTGTCGAAGTCGGTGTCGGACTCAATATCAGACTCGGTGTCGGTCTCGGATTCGTAGTCGAACTCCTCCTCGTACTCTGGGCAGTCGGGGAGGGACAGGTCTTGGTCTGCCTCCTCCTGATCGGTGTCAGAATCGGAGGGCTCGGGGATCACCTGGGCTGCGGAGCGGTGGTGGGCGTTAAGAAAGCTCCGGCGCTGCTGGGCAGCTGCGCGCTGGGCGCGGGCGTTGGAGGTGGCAAGGGCGCGGAGGAGCGCGATGGAGCAGGAGAGCCAGAGGAGCGCGGCAGCTGCCCGGCGGCCAATGGGTGGGCACAGATCGTTGTAACTGTGGCGAGCTCGGCGCCAGTGAGCCCGGGACCTGCGATCCATTCTCTTAGGCACACGCCGAGAAGCCGACCCACCCTCTGGCTCTGCAGAGAGTGGCTCCGGTGCGCATTGGCGGCTAGAGCCGAAAAAGGTGCACCTTACGAGGTGAGAAGCTGGGTCCGGAGGTCCCAGCCCTGCCTCGGTGTAAGGGCAAAAAGGGAAGCACCTACCGTTCTGACAACTCAACTTTCTAAAGCTCCGCGCCTCTGCTCGCCTCTCTGAGCAAAAGGAAGGGATGGAGAAAGGGGAGGAAAAGTCTATCTCCTCCCGGGCTCCTCTCTCGAAGTCTCAGACTCTGCAGTCTAAGACTCGGGAGAGATGCCTCCGCAGGTCCTCTCGTCTGCGAGAGGAGAGAGGAGACTGAGGAGCGGAGAGACGGGTGGAGAGGTTCTGCAAAGTTGCGCGCCCGGACTTCTGCCGGGCATGTGCAGTAAGGAGGCGGGGGCTCCTCCCGGCGAGCTGCGCGGCGGCGTCAACTCCTAGGCGCAGACCCTAGTGGGCCGGCAGGTGGCAGGAGGGAACCTTGTTTGAAAGGATTTGGGCAAGCGAGGGGGGTGGGGGGTGCAGGCGGGTGCCAGGGAGCAAGCCATTGAGCCACAGGTTGGCAGCTGGGCATGGGTTCTCCATGGGGTTCGTACCCCCTCCCCAACTTCTCCGGTGTTATACTTAAAATGAACAAAACTGGAAGCATCTCAAACCAAACCGCAGAACTGCAAACATTCGGGGGGAATGAGAGTCTGTACGTGAGTATTCATGATCCAGCCCGGGCATTTTCCAGGGGCTTAATAGCTTGAGGATGGTAACCTCAGGCAGTCAGTCATGAAACCACCTTCAGCAGATCAGTTATAGTGACTGTAATTTGAGAATTTTCCAACCCCCCCCCCCCATACAGTCTCAATCTGCTAAATTACCTAATGGACAAATAAGCCTCTTCCCTAGGAAGGGTCCTCACAGAGCTGTGCTGGCTTGCAGGTCTGCAAGCCCATGGGTGGACCGGCAGGAGCTCTAGCGGAGAACAGGGCTGGAAGACAGGCTTGAATCAGCTGGAACCACCATTTCCGGCAGTCTTTCCTGCACTGATAAGCAGTAGGTACAACCAATTCTACCCCCTGTGGCAGGGTGGGGGTGGGGGGATTCAGGGTGGTCAGCTAGCAAGGAAACCTGGTTGGGTATACCCTTTAAAGCTCTCATAGTTTTTCAACAAAATTAACTCATTCAACAAATATTTATTGATTGCCAAGCTCTGTTCTAGATAGTGAAAGTTAAATAAAATAAAATAAAAAGATGAGCAACAAATCTTAGATTAAGAAAGGATGTTTAGGGTTCATCTGCTGTGAAGGAGAGCATTAAACCACTCAGAGTGTCTCCTTACCCACCACCACTGTTTACTCCAGCTTGAATTCCACATGAGAAACAACTGGATCAACCAGAGCATTAGATTTAGTGGGCAGCTAAACACGCTTGGAGCATGTTGTTGAACCCCAAAGGCTGAAACGTTAGAGGAAGTTAGTAAGGCCCTTATTTGGCTCTGAAAAATCAAATGAGTGCCAGGTCCTTGAGGGGAGCCCTGGAGTGGTCCTTGCTCAGGAGATCATGTCCTGTGGAAGCTCTGGAATCCCTCTGTAACCTGGCTGCTGCTGGACTGTGCCTGCCCTCCCTCTAGAATATGGAGTGCCCCTTCTGCCATAGTGACAAGACCGAAGGTGGTGAACTCAAGGCAAACCTTCTCTTAGAGTCCATGGAAGTGTCGACAATGCTGCTTCACTAGGGACACATGGTTTCTTTGTGTTTGAGTCAACATGGGGGACACTTGAAGAAGCACAACCTAGAATTCTGCTTTTCTTTTTGGCCCACCTGGTAGCCCTCCTGGTACTCCTTCGTGGTGCTGGAGAGTTACTCAGCATGGTGGGATTCACACTCATACCTTCAACACCATGCCTGCGTTAAGACTAGCAAACCCAGAGTTAAGACGTTAGCCACTGCTTTGGATGTATTGAGGTTTTGTTTCTGCATCTTGGATTTGGGCATTCTTGAATGTTTTTGAACTGTGGCTGTGTCTATCTTACATCTTGTGTTTGAGTTAGTTTGTAGCATTAAAATACTGATTGGTCTAATGAAGTGGGATTGATTTGTCTTAAACCCCATAAAAGGCTAATGTCTGTATGCTAGTTGTGCTGTACTCTAACACTTTCCAGAGAAACGGAAAGGCTTTTATTACCACAAGTGCCTGGATGGCTCCACTCACCGTGTTGATATTATTATAGGACACTGGGCAGGGCATTTGGAGCCATACATCTTAAATCCTGATCGCTCGGCCGTTAGGGGGACCTTTTAAAGGTTCTGCTCACAATGGCCCATCTGCTTTATTTCTTTCATTTAGCACAGCCGCACTAACAATGTATGGAACATATACACATTGTTCAAGTGGGTTTCAGGGCACATTGGGGGGGAAAATCAGGAACATGTGGGTGCTGATGGATGCCCTTTGAATGGAGACAAACACCAGCTGTCAGCGACGAGGTGGGTTACGGTTCTTCAGTGCATGTAGGAAGTACTTCGTTTTTCAGGAGTGCTTTATGCCTGTAACGGAGATGGCAGCCCAGAGCTGGTCCACTCACAGACACGCTGAGACTGCCTGCATTTTTTAAAGTGTGCATTACATGATACATATATTTTTTACTTGATTTTGCATTAGTAATGCACGTTCTTTTCAAGATAGATTTTAATCGGCAAACGGACATTGAACAGATACTGCATTCTTGAGCCCCCATCTCGCACATTTACAGATGCGTCTGGTGTCCAGCCTACAGGCTCCAGGAGGAGCAGGGGGACTGCACTGAAATACTGTTCCATCTCTCAGCACTGAGGCCGAGCAAATGGATCTGTGCAGAAATTCTCTTTAAAATGCATTACGTGCATGACTTTAAAAGTGCTTGCTGCAGAGTGAATTTCAAAAAGGAGCAAGCGGGTGATGAACGACCTCAGGTTGTTAGCAGGCTGAGGAACAAGGGGCTGTGTCTGTCTGCTGGTAAATAAAGTGTGGACATATATCACCTGCAGGCCTGTGTGGGAGGGGCCCCTAAACCTGTTGGACAGGACAGCGCAGTTTCCTGTCCTTACAGTATCGTACAGTAAGGTGCTTATTTGGATGAATCTGAAGAATGTTGTTCAGCCTCTTCAAGGACTGTCCTGTGGAAAGGGCAGTAAGATGTATTTCTGTGAGTCCAGAGGCAGAATTTCAGCTGGTGGGTGGTAGTTACAACAGGCAGATTTCAGCCCAGCCCAAGGAAGGATACTCTTAAAATTAGGGCTCTTCAGTGGAATGGCTGTCAGGAGGTGGTTGGCTCTTTGTCAGGATTGGTCTTAAATCAAAGGACAGATGACCACATATTGGAGATGTTTTCCGTGGGACTCATGAGCTGGGAGAGTTGGAACCCGATGCAGCACAGGTTCTCATTCCATGAAAGGCATGTGGAGGCCCTGGGAGAGGGGCTGGGGGCTCTTCGACTCTGCTTCTATTTTAGAAGCTCTGGAAAGTGCAGTGGCTCAGTGACAGGAAGGAATGTTTGGGTGGCGTTTCAGGACATGAGCAAACAGGTGTATGTTGTGGAACTTTCGTAACCAGGGCAGGGCTCTGAGGCTCTTTGCACCAGAACTCACTTGTTGAAGCAAAGAAATGAGTCAAGTCTGTCTGTTCACTGTATTGGTCCTCTTTGCTTCCTGTCCCAGAGTCATCTTAGAAATTTAAAATGACATTGGCTATTTAGCAGTTACGTCTTGAGTCACTTCTGTGACCAAGATACTCTTCCAGACATTGTGGGGAGTTGAGGTAATGGAGAGGAACAACTGCCATCCAACAACATAACATGCATGTCAGTGTGAAGTACCCCAAATATCCAAAAGTGGATTGCCAACAGGTGCCAAATAGTATATCCTATGCCAGATACATAAACCTAGGAGGGGAGTTGGGTAATGGTGGCAATAAGGGTGGCTACATTCAGGGGGAGAGTTCGCCTTGTGGGTTCTGAAAGGCGTGGGTTCTACCTGGTCTGATTTGGAGGTTTTCTTTTCTTTTAAAAGTCCGTGGGAGGATTGCTTTCCATCCACCCGTCCCGTGTGCCTTCCGTGTGCGAAGCCCTGTGCTGGCCAATCTGGGGAAGATGGATGAATCACATGAGTTCTCAAGAGGCTTGCCAAGCCATTGTCATGGTTCCCCTAGACACCAACGAATTTTCTAAGATGAGACACAAGATAAAAGATTGGTTCTGCTCTGCCAGCCAAGTGGGTCTAATCACTCTTGAGCATATTTTTTGGACAATCATTGGAAAGGACCGTTGTGGAGATGGAGAGCTTTTCAAACTTTCCTTTGGGTAGGAATGAGTTTGGGAGCTTAAGGGGCTCTCACCCCTGACTGGTAATCAGCCAGAACGGCCCCCATCACTGAGACTTGCCTGTGCCCCTCCCGCTGCCCCAGGAGGTCGGGACAATGCAGACACATTTGGCTCATTTCTTGGATGCTACTTTACCATTAATCAGACTGCACTGATACTGACAGGCTCTCACCAGTACAAACGGTGACAACCCTGAGCTGATTTTGTGATTTTGGGGGAATGCCATCTAGATCCAAAAGCGAACAATGGGGGAAATAATTGTCTTTTTGACATGACTGGGTTCTGTCTGGCACATTGTCGGGATGACAATTCTCTATCTGTGCCCTTTGTTTTGAAAGGGAGCCAGGATCACAAATGGAGCAGATGCCGGTGTCCACAGCTGTTAGCAGTTGTCTTCTCAGGAGTGGCTTTGCCTTCCCGTTCACCATGTGCTCCATCGAGTTTCTTCCTCCAATCCAACACCTCCCTCCCTCCCTCTGCCAGGGGAGGAGCAATTTCTAGGAAGCTTCTGGAAACTCCCTCACTCAGGCAAAGCATAAACTTGGGCATACAGGTGCTCCTTGGGCATGGTGCCTCCCATTCTCTGCTTCCATGTGGCCCCTGGTTTACCCTCTTAGAGTCTGGCCATTTGCCTGGCTTTGTCCTGTCCAGAAGTGGGCACTGGGTTCTGTCCATGTGCCTAGCCCCAACTTACATTCCACCTTGTCCAGTTTATTCCCATGGTTAGCAAGACATCAGTGACCAGAGATGCCTGCAGCCCAGGGGATTCTGGTCTTAGATGTCCTCCTGTGTCCTGCACACCAGCTTCCTCATGTAACTGAGGTCTGCGGGTGAAAACACCGCTGACTGCAAAGGATGACTCACCGTTGAATCCCCCGGCTCACGGTTGTAGCTTTTGTCCAGCTCTCCTGGTCATCCCACCTTTTCCTCCAGTCACCAGCACTGACAGAGGGCCTCAAAGTTGTTTTTCTCTCTGCTAAGGCTCTGACTCACCCCTTCAGACGTGGTGGGGGAGTGAGCAGCGATGGGGGGGGAGGCTTAGTGGTGTCATGGTTCAGGCACACGCTCATAGAAATCCTTTCAGCTCCAGCTCTTCAAAATATGATTAGACCAATTTTACATGTCTAGTCACTGAGGCTCCGGTAGATTGGGACTG